TCTTTCCTAATAGCTAGAAGCTCCACCGTCCAAGAACTATCAGCCATTAGTAGGCAAACACCCTCAAATTTAAACCAAGCTGACACAATGGGGCCAGATTCTCTACCACACCTGTGCTTACCAATTTATACAGAGGGAGTGCGTATGAACAACTCTAGACGAAATTAATTTGACTGAAAACACCTAGGAAATGCCATTGAAAAAACCCTGCACATAAAAATTTGAACTATGTTCTGTAGTTTTGTTATTTGTATTCCTACTGAATAATTTTATTAGAACTATTTGCGTTGTCAGTAATGGAAATGAGTATATATAATTTGTTAAGTATCATAATTACTAAAGGAAGCATGGCTATCGAATCAAGAATTTAAGTTGATAGATAGAAATGGAAATATCTGTGTAAACTCATGTATTAAGAGGGAAAAAAAGATCTTTTCTTATTTCGTTCACGAAAATGATCTGGAAATAATATTCCATGGCTCAGGGTCCAAAGAATTGCTACTCATACTGTTTTTTTTCTTCCCACCAAAAGGAAGCAGGGCTCATTGAGAAAATGTCTGATTTCATATCTAGAAAATCTTTATGTGCCAGAAACCAGAGACATTTTTGAAATCTGTAGGGTCATGGCACAGGATAGAGATGATATCCTTAAAAAGGTTTCCACTCACAAAAGTTGAGAATTTGAGCATTAAAAGGAGAAGAGTGGCTGTGGTTGAATGAACACACTTAAAATTATATAAAGGGAAAAAATTAATACATTCTGAAGGACGGTAAGAAAAGAAGACTGTATATCCAATCAGTCCTGTGTCTGAATCATTTTTGTATTGTTGACTCATTTATTATAAGACAAATATCAGCAGTATGAAAGCAACGAGCAGAAATACAGAGGGGGCTAAAATATAAAGACACAGTTTGAGAAAGGAAAAACCTGTATTAAAGTTGTAATACTCAATATGTACCAATAGCAAAAGATGAATACAAGTCAAGTTTGACTTCTGCCATTATAAGAGGTGCACAAGGTGGTCCCTATCAGTGTCCAGACACTTCTAATTACAGCGAACTATTGCAGCGCTGACCAAAGTGTCCACTTGCATCACTGGGCATGCCGTGTCAATTTCCTCCTGAACAACCACCAGGGGAGCCTGTTTTCTACAGTATATCACATCCTTTAAGGTCCCCCGCAGGTAGAAATCGGGAGGTGCTAAGTCAGGAGAACAGTGGAGACACTCAACTACACCTCTTCCTCCTATCCATTGTTCTGCCAAATTTCCATCAAAGTAATTTCTCACATTTCAGTGCATGTAATAATCTTGGGATAAAACTGTCCATTTGCTCTTTTAAGATCACATTAGATGCCTGTTCTGCTAACTCCTGTCTATAGTGGACATTGCATGGTAGACTTCTGCAGTGAGAGTGTCTGTTCAACACCACAGCAGAAGCAGCAGGACTTGCTGCTGCGTGAGGCCTCCCAGATCCTCCCTTGTGCACATCACACACAGTACCAGGCGTCTCAAACTCAGCATGAATGTGTGCAGTTTTTAAGTGTGTTCAAGGTGCTCTTGCATACTCATGCCTCCATTTTCATGGTACTTCCACAAATATTCTTGAATTTCAAATGCTACTTCAAAATCATCTTAGGCTCCTTGAAGGACAACTGTGTTTCTGCCGTTTTCTTTGACTGTCCAGCCTGTTGCATTCATTTGATTAACAATGTATTTTGAGCAAATGTCATATATAATATGACATATGCTAAAACATGTGTACACATTTAAAGCAATTATTCAATTGCTACCATAATTCAATTCAATTTCAAAAAGTAATACATAGATAACATCTCTTAAAATACATATACTTTTTTGGCACCCCAGTACGTCACTTGTTAGGAATTTTGTTTTGTTTTTGTTTTTTTCATTAATCAGACCCAGGCAAGGTTGGAAGCTGCCACCCCTGGTATGTGTGTATGTGGGGGGGAGGGTGTGTGTTAACCACTGAGCTACGGCACCCAGCTAGTTGAAAGGCATTTGGACTGGAAAAGATTATTTGTAAAATGACTCTGTATTGTGACTTTCAAGTAGAAAAAAATCACATGGAGTATACAAAGTTCAACTGGATATATATAAAGTGTTTATAAATGTCTTCTGGTACTAAGCATATCATAAAACCAAGATTCTATAATGTACTCATGTTTTTAAAGTTATATTTGTTTGAATCTTATCAAGTCAAAGATTCAGACTCAACTTGATAGCCCATAGACCTTCTTGAACTTGAATGACAAAAAAGGTTGCAGCTTTAATTTTAACCTCTACATAAAATTTAGCATTCTCTTTATTTATGAATAGGTAAAAAGGCACAGTAGTACTAGTGAGATCTGTGGCTATGTCACTGTGGAAATCATAGATATTTTCATGTTACATTCTAATTTTTACAAGTATCACCCAGTATTATTTATATTCTTTTTAAAATTGTGCTAATAGAGTGATATACATCATAGTATTTTATAGCAGTATTTCAATGGAATTTATTTCCTCTGTAGTCCTAGTACTTCATTTCACGCATTTGACATTCTGAGAAGGCTCCATAGGCTTTATCAGACTGGTAAGAGTCAGTGGTAAAGTAAAATTAAAGACCATTAAGAAGGAAAAAAAGTCCTTTACAAAGGCTTATGAACTTGATTGGGAGATGAAAAATTCTTGACATAGTCCTAAAGAACTGAATCCAAGATGGAAACTCTCCTCCTGAACTCATGGAACCTGTTTCGGTTTTAATACAAGACTGACAATTATTTGATATTCCCTCATTAAGAGCTATGGTTCATGTCTCCTTGCTGTGGATCTGGGTAGACTTGTCACTGTTTTGACAGATAGAGAAGTATCACTACAGAGCTTCAGAAGTTAAGTATAAAAAAGCAATTAAGCTTACTTTTTGTTTTCTGGGATAATTGTTTTTGTAGCCCTGCACGGACATGTAAGAAGTTCACCTGCCTTGGGTCTGCCATGCTGTGAGGAAGTCCAAGCTACATGGTGAGGCCTCTTGTAGGCAATTAGGTCAATAGTATTACCTGAGCACAGCTGTACGATCACCCCAGCCTAGGTGACAGACATGTTGAAGAAGTCTCCAGATGAGTCCAGAACCCAAGCTGCTTGGGTCACCCTCTCTCTGCATTCACTTCCCAGCTAAGGTATAAGATATGATGGAGCAGACACAAACCATCCCCTCTATTCACTGTCTGAATTCTTGGCTTTGGATAAATATAAAATGGTTGCTGTTTTATATCATTAAGTTTTGGAACGATTTGTTAGGCATCAATAGATGACTAGAATAGGGGTTAGGAGGGGCCAAGCAAGAACATAGTTAGTTCTGAGGCATGAATCTCTTTTAGTACATAATGTCAATTGAAACAAAATGGGCCACATGTCCTGAGAGCCTTGGAATTTTCATAAAGGACAATATAAGTTCTAGTTCAACTGACAGTAGAATTTAAACTACAGTAGAACTTCTGTAAGTTGAGGTTACCAACCATGGGACTGTAACAGACTGGTCAACATATGGAGGTGGTCCACATAAGAAAGTAGGCCTGCTGTACTGACATGCACATGTGGTGCTTGTCTAGTCTACCCAATTAGGTCAGTTTAAGGAGGGCTCAGTGTAAGGAGGTGGTCAACTGTGGAGGTTTTACTGTACATCATTCTGATAAGTTGGTTTCAGATAATAGAGAAAAAATGTAGATACCAGCCCAATGCTGTACTTGAAACCAATACAGCATGCTTCTGAGCCATGAGGAAATTCCCTAAAGGATTCTAAAGAAAGAACTTAGTTGTCAGATGATTGAATCCTGTGAAATCTTCTTGGACGCCCCCATGGCTGTCCAGTGCCTACATCTCCCTCTCTTTACCTGCACTTCCTTGCTGGTCTAGCCGGCAGAAGAAACGATATGCCCCAGGACAGTGAGTCACCAGCACATCAAAACAACCCCAAGGCACGAAGATTATCTATAGCACACAAATACCAAATAAGATCCCAGACTAAGGTAGTATTATGGGTGTTAAGCCTGGCTGTCTTATGTATGTTTGGACGATGAACTCTATGGAGTAAGAGAGTGGTATGATTTTTTAAAGAAATTTATTTATTTCTTTTTGTTAATTAGCAGCCCATTTTCTACAAAGACTTTTTGAAATCAGGGAACTACTCCACAGAAAGTATCCTGGAAGAAATGTATTTTGATTATAAAAATGTTTTCAACTTATGAAAATCCACATTCATTAAAATTTTAATGGAAAACTATGGTGAATTTATATATATATATGTGTGTGTGTGTGTGTATGCACATATATGTATGTATATGTATATATTTTAATATTTTTCTATTCAGTAACCTACCAAAACCCATGGCAATGCTTAATTTAAGAAACACATTGTTTTTTCCTACTTTATTATAACATTTACAACAAAGTAATGGGTTACTGTTCACAGGTCAATTTATTTTTGTCCAAAATCCTATTCCACTTTGAGCAAAAAGCAATTCACCTTTGGCAGAAGTAATTTAGGATGTCAGAGTCCTCATGTAGATGGACATAGCCCAGAGAACAAGGTGGGATTGTACATGCTTGACGTTCCCTGACAATCAGTTCAGTTACACAAAAATAGCATGGTGTAAAGGGGTCAGATATACCTTTTTGGAAAGAAGTTTGGAGAATACTCAACGAATTAAAAACAGACCTACCCTTGATCCTGCAATTCCTCCTCTACTAGGTATATACCCAGGTGATCAAAAATTATTTTACAACAAAGACATTTGCACTAGAATGTTTACTGCAGCTCTATTCATAATTGCCAAGTCACGAAAACAGCCCAAGTGCCCACTGACCCATGAATGGATTAACAAATTGTGGTATATGTATACCATGGAATATCATGCAGACATAAAAATGACGAAGCCTTCACATCTTTTATGTTTACCTGCATGAAGTGGAAGATAATTCTTCTTAGTAAAGTATCTCAAGAATGGGAAAAAAAAGTATCCAATGTACTCAATACTACTATGAAATCAATATATAATCACCTATACATTCATACAAATGGTAAAACATAACTATAGTCCAGAAAGTAGATGGGAAGAGGAGAGAGAGGGGAGGGAGGAGGTGTGAAGAGGGAGAGGATTTGGGGGGACCTCACCTAATATCCATGATGTAATGGTATATTTCAAACCCCCTCTCTTTTCTCTATTAAAAGAGTATAATTGTGATGGATGTGTTAATCAGTTCAATGTAAGCACTTCACATTGTATATCCAATCAGTACACTAAATGCCACAAATGCATCAATATACACAGTTATGATTTAATAAAAACAAACAATAAAATTAAGGGGTGAGATACGGATGGGCACATTTTAGAAGATTTGAAAACTGAGATAGGCTGTGGGGAAATGATGACATTGCTTCACAAATTCACCTTAGCTGCTGAACAACAGAAAGTAGAGACTGGTGAAATTTGGTGAGACCGGCTAACAGGGCAGTCAGAGAAATAGAAATCCGTACCTGTGAGGTAGGTGTTGTGTGAGGAATTAATGAAATAGTGGGAGAGGGGCTGAGACATGTCTTCATTCAAATCCAGTTTCTCAGGTGAAACAACCCCATTTTCTTCCCCGCTCAGATAGCGCATGAATCCATCCACTGATATCTGCCCTAAAGGGAAAGAAGAGTAACAAGAATGTGAATGTATTCCCTTTCTATGGCTCATTGGTATCAAGTAGCTTTCATTTTGGAGGGTGTGTGTACAAAACTCTGGTGGGATCCAAGGTAGAAGACAGTAGCCACATAGCATTTTAGAATGGATAAACAAGGGTGTAGGCTCATGCCATTTCATTACAATTATCCCCAAAGGTCACAGATAATAGAGAAAAAATGTAGAGACATGATCCTCATTGACTTTTCCAAGCATTTAAATAACTAAACACCAACCTCCCCTCATCAAACGTAAGCCCTGATGCCAACTTCATGGATGGACACCAAAATGTTGTCAGTACTTATTTCTGGGTGATAAATTTTGGGGGGATATATGTTACTATTTCCTATTGTAAATACAGGTCACTTTTATAATCACTGAAGTTATGCACAAGTGGTTTTATTATTTTCAATGAAGTGGCAGTGTTTTCAGATAATGGTCTTTTTCTCTGAAACAGAAAATAAAGATGACCTAAGGTGAGTCTCTCCTAGGAAAAAAAAATTGAATGCTCATAAAAAGGAAATATTTACATTTCCTATTTGAGAGTGATTTTGCTTCAAATAGAAGAAGTAGGACTTGTACCTTACACAGATTCTATTTAGAGATTATTCTTTTGTTGAAATCTTTCTGAAGTTGACCAATGCTAACTATTGAGGTAATTCTTTTTCCCCCAATTTTATTGAGGCAAAATCATCAAAACTGTATATATTTAAGGTGTGCGACTTGATGTTTGAAATTTGTACTGAGACCCTTTTTTGTGGTAGTAAGCTTTACGGAGACACAGAATCATCTTAACTATTTTGGCGTTGCCATACTCTGTTCCCTCAACCTGAGCATTCAAAGGCTCAAAACAGCACGTGTGTGGGCAGTAAAGACGTTGCTAATAAATGCTGGAGGACAGCATTTTCTTTTTAAAAATTCTTGAAGTGGTTTTTTATTTATTGAAGAGATAAACATAAAGGAGAAATAAAACCTTTGCTGAACATTCTTCTTTCAGAGGTAACAACTGCTAAAATCTATAAGCTTCCTGGAAAAAAAGCATGTGTACATAATTCTCTTATGAGCTGCGATCATATACACACACATATATAATGACATATATATAATTTAGTAACCATCTTTGTTTGCATTAATTGAACAATGTGTTATGAACATTGTCAAGTGAGACTAAATTCTGTACAGATAAATAGTTAATAATGACATATATAATGTATAAACTATATTTTATTTATTATAAAATACAACAGTATAAAATGGAGTAATATTCTATTATCATTGGTCAATAAAGCTGTTTCTAATCTTTTCACTGGTATAAATGACATTGTATTGAAGACTTCGATATTTAAATCTTTGTACGAATCTTAATTATTTCTTTAGGATGAATGCCCAGAAATAGAATTGCTGATTCAAAGACTGAATATTTTTAAGGCTGTTAATATACATAAACAAGTGATTTTCTGTTAAAGTTCTAACAATTAACTTTCACTGATATAAACGTACTTGTCTTTATTCTTTCACTCTTGCTACCCAAACTTACAGTGAGGGGTAAGTGCGTGATATAAAACAATTATAATATCTAACAAATGTGATGTCGAACAATTCCAATCTTAACTGATTTGAGTATTACTTATTCTGGAATGGTAAGAGGTGCGTCATCTAAATGGCTGAGCTAGCACTATTTACCGTAGTCAATTTTTTTCATATCCAATAAATTTCTCGAGGTAACTGATGTCTGCTTTTTCTACACTCTGAAAATGTTATAACTAAAACACTTTTAACATTATCTTATAATAAATAAAAAGAAAGAAATCTGGTATTGGCACTTTGGAAGAGAGGAGCTATTTTATAAAAGAAAAATGTACCTAAACAAACTTTTAAATAGAAAGAATATTTATAATATGAACTGCTTAAAAATTAACTCTAACATAAACTTTGATAATTTCAAAATGAAAAAAGGAAAAAATGCTAAGAAAGTCTGTTGAGAAATATGATATCAAAGTCCTTTTATTGGTATGTTTGTGTGAGGTCAGTTTTTAATGGATTCCATAGTTTATAACTCTGAATAACCACTACTTACCAAAGTGACCTTCTGATCATGTAGCTGACTTCTTTTTAAAATTCATCTATGAGGTGGTGCCTGTGGCTCAAAAGGGTAGGGCACCAGCCCTATATGCCAGAGGTGGTGGGTTCAAACCCAGCCCTGGCCAAAAATAAATAAATAAATAAATAAATAAAATTCATCTAGGGTTGAATGCATACATCCCTTTAAATGGATTTAAATTTTTGGAAACAAATCAAAGTCTACTTAGAAACAAAGCTGTTTTAACAGATAGTTTTAAAAAGTATTTTGGCATATAAAGCTCATTTATAGGTGAAATCTTAGTTTAAAAAAAATCAACTTTCTTGGCAGTTTTCCTTAGTTCTGTGACAAGCCCAGCTTGTCAAGTCCTCAAACTAGAGTCTCTCTTCTTCTCTCCCTCCTTCTATCCTTTCCTCATTCTCTCTCCTTTCCTTCCATTCTTTTCACAAAGATTCACTGAACACCTACCAGGTTCTAAATACAGAAAGGAAAGAAAGCCTGTGTAAAACTCAGCCTTCGCCTTCCAAGAGTTCATAAACTAACGGAAAATAAGCCCATCACTCCTTGAAAACCAGGCTTGAGCAACCCCAAAGCAAGTGTCCCACCTGGAGTCCACTATGATGTTTTGTGAACGGTGGGTGCTAAATCACCACTGCTCTTGGAAGAGCAGAAAATAAATTGTTTTGAAACTGGAAGGTCGCCAAAAGCAGGATAATCTCCTCTGATTCTTGTGTTCTGATTAGGTCAAGTCATATGAAATAGCTAAGATGTGCTGTTTCTAACGTCTGCAAATGGCAATTTCATACAACTCCATCTCCAATGAGAGCTGTTCCTCAGAGAATAGGAAGTAAATGGCAATTGTCTTCAGTGGCCAGGAAAGGAAAGTAACAGGACTGTAGCAGCTGGATGAATGTACGCACTCCATGTGCACACTGGGGTGTCACGTGGTGTGGAAACCGGCAAGTGTGCCCTCCTTCCAGAGGCACGCATATCACAGAATAACATCCCGGGTGACCTAACACAGTGGTGCTGGGTTTGGTCATGAGTCTGTCAGTTTGTAATTGTTATCTTGCAGGAATTAATATCCTTTGGTCAGATCGGCAACTTTTAAAACCGATTAAAAAAAAAAACACAAAACTACTTCAATAGGGTGGGGACAACAAGTGAATTTTGACTTGAGCTCCAATTCCCATTGTTAGTGCCTCCTGGGTGCTTGTGCTGAGAAAGATTCTGAACTATGCTTGTGATTAATTTTGATGACAGTCATAAGTGCAGGACAGACAAGTGAGGGAGTACATGGTGTATGTTTGCCACCCTCGAATGACGAAGTTGACTATTATGATAGGATATTATGACTAAGGTCAGGGGATAATTTGGAACTTGCCAAAGAATGTGTAACAAAGTTTTACTTAATTCATTCATGGGCAAACCAGGAAGATGAGAATGCTAGTTCAAAGAGCCAATGAAAATTGTGTTTACAGGTGCATATATATATTTTGATCAGCAAAAAAACAGACAAACCAAAACCCCAATCCCAAATAACACAACCTATACCAATATTGCCGGATTGAATATAGAGTTAGTGAACGTCCTATGGGTCCATTGAACCATGACCTTTTGGGGTTATATTCTCTGCCTTTATTATTTCATAAAATTCAAAGATTTTAACATAATTTTAGCATAGATTGCAAAAAGTAAAAAACAAGAATTAGATGAATCACTATTTATAAGGATTATTTATAATTATATTAAATAAATCATAAACCCTCATGAAGGAGTTTATCTAACTTTGAATTAATACAAATAGTGAATTTGGAGGGAAGTTCAGAGAGAATACATACCAGATTATGGGTGAGCAGAAGCGGGTAGTGGGAAGAGGGATCCACTTTTAAACCCCAAAGCTTTGCCTTGCTAACAAAAGGATCAAATGCTCAAGATTTTGACAAGGCAGAGATAAGTCAAAATTAAGACAGGCCATTGAAAAAATATAGATGAAGAATAGTTAGTCACTTTGTAATCTAGGCATCAGTTAAGGGGTCAGTAGTTCATTTGCAAAAATGCAGATGTTTTGGCATAATGGATTAGCCTAAATAATAGTTCTGACTCACAAAAACTTAAGGATACAGACCAGACTCTCAGAGGCTTGTCCTTTTCTGCATATCATCTACAGCTGAAATACGCTTCTGCTGTTGACTTAAACCCACCAGGCCTTTTCTTTCTACCTTGTACTGTTAGTGAAAAGTTGCTTACAATTTTTTTTTTCTGGTTCACTGAAGTGCATCGAAAAATGAAAAAGCTTTAGAATTAAGATAGCAAAACACATGGCTTCGCTTTCCTAAACTAATTAGTAACAGCACAAGAAATGTAGCTTCTACTCCTGCCCGTGGAAACTGGTCAGGGGCAAATTCCTTAACCATAGGATGAGTGAGCTACAGGGACACTTTCCCGTCTCCTCTAATTCCAGAAGTCTATGACTTCAAGTGGGTTAATGATTAGAGACAATTACTAGTTAAATTACTAGTTAAACAAAATGTCTCATTTGAGAATGAGATTATAAAACATCAAACCACAATGAGAAGCAATGTTACAATTTTCTGAAATCAAATCAACAGGAAGAGACGTTAAGTTCAGAGGATAAAACCAGCTGACAGAGGCTAAATATAAATTCCCTTACATATTTTCTTAATGAAAGAGCCGTATGCTTCCAATTGGGCATGTCACTCACGTAACGGCATCTAAAGAAAGGTCTTTACAAGAATATATCTTAAATCCCTCATGGAATAGAAAAAATTCACGGTTCCAACAGATATCAGGAAGACAGTAATTTAAAATTCTGCTATAACGTAATGATACCTTCCGGAGATGCTTTTAAAATCATCC